ATAAGAAGCAGCAGATGTGACCAGGAGGGGGGAAGATGAAGGGTGGTCTAGTATGTGTGTGTCTGTATAATCTAGGGATGAAAAGAAAGTTCATTTTAATGCATTCTTGTGAGTGTTAGAACAATGAAATGGATGAGATATCATAGAAAAGGTAAAGTCGGTACGAAAGGAAGCCTAAAAGAATGTAGGGAATGATGAACATAGAGAGTCTCTTGGACTTATCAAGGGTAGAAAAGTTGGTGGTGAGATTTGGTCAAAAGTTCTACATACCAGAACTGAATTGATTACATATTTTGGATGAAATGTTTTGGACTCTTAAGTAAGAAGAAATGAAGATGATTTAAGTTTCAATTGCCAATAACACACAGGAGAGTACTTTGTGATACCGATTCAAGTCTTTTTTTCCTCAACTAGATTCAGTTTAATTACTGACAAACATGAAACTTCAAAGTATACCAGTGTACAAAGAAAAAACATATTTTTAAAGCAGAATACATTTTAAGTGCTAGTTCTAGATTAATCTAAACTTACTTTTGATAGACTCATGAAGCATAATCACAGTGCAAGAGCAAAGTTTTGCATCAGTCTGTTCAACAAGAATACAAAATGGGGAGCCGTCATCTTTCATTTCCTGGAGTGCACAAGTGAGACCCGATGCAGAGGGGAGGTGAATGGTTTCCACCACCAGGCCATAAGCCCGCAAGCGATGACCTATGACTGTCACATATTCCCTTAAAAACACACACACACACACACACAAGGAAAAGATAGGTTACTTCCAATTGACAAAAGAAAAAACAATCTATGTCATCAAGCAGTTGTTATGTAGATACTTTGATGCACCATAAATTTAAGTAAGTGAGGTAAGATACTATATTTTTACTGCATTTAGGTAAGTCAGGTGCAAGAGGCTATAGTTTTTTTTAAAAAATCACACATGTCCCACAACTTGTTTTCATTCCTAGATATGATGAAAACATTTAAGGCAATGCTATCTGTCTGAGGCAATCAGTTAAGAGAAAGGGAGGCAACTCTGACAAAAAGGAAACTCACTTTTCTGAAAATATAGTGTCCTCATACGGCTGACTATGTAGATAATTTTATAAAGAAAGCAGAGTATGTGTTTTGTTTGGCATGATACACTGGGAAGCACCGGGAATGTCCTTTTTAAAAATTCTATTCGATGAAATCATTTCAATTGAAAGATGATGTAAAGAACAAGCATATTCAGAAAAATGAGAGAATGTTCCTCAACATTTAGTTCCTGGGCTAGACTCACATTTGTGGTCATTACCCCCA